TGATCTCGATGACGCAACAGTATATATTAACTCTGAAGAAGCTGTAAAAGCGAAACGTTGGTAGTAAAAAAAACAAATATACATATACATCCGGAGTGTAAAGGTCGTTTATCTAAACTTTTATCACAATGCGTTTTTAAATATAACGTATACTTCATTATCAAACAGTTTATATATATTAACTCTGAAGAAGCTGTAAAAGCGAAACGTTGGTAGTAAGAAAAAACAAATATACATATACATCCGGAGTGTAAAGGTCGTTTATCTAAACTTTTATCACAATGTGTTTTTATATATATTAAATAATAAAAAAGAAAACTTTAACATTGATAAAAGTAATACACCATATAAGTCAAAACTATTTCTTATTACAGAAACAGATATTTTTCGGCCACATTTGTTCCGGCCATAATCAGTTGTATTTCGTAAGCGCATAAGTTACAACACACTTTAAAGACAATTATGTCTTTTTTATTATTATTATTCCTGTTGTTGCAGTTACTTGTAGCAGATGGGTTTTTACTGGGTGGAGTTGCTAGCCCCGCGCCCAACCCTCCTCCTGGACTTGGGACCAGGCAAAGGCGGAGGTTGGCATATTTGGTGCGACGGGGATTCGAACGGGCCTTAAATTATGTCTAGTCTATGATAAATATCAATTAAATTTTAACTCAAACTTAATATCGTTATAATAAAATGAATTATCTTATCTATATTGTTAGCTTATAATGCATAACACGTACATTAATATTCCTCACAATGAAATAAATATCGTTAGTTAATAATACATACAGGATAGATTTTATTTAAAATGTTAATATCCCTTAAAATAAGATAAATGACCTTATCCATGTTGTTAGTTTATAATACATGTCAAATACATTTTATTATAAACTCACTTTGCCCAACCCGTCAAATAATTAGGGATTGGAGTTTTGGAAACAAAAAAAAAAAGTAGCCCCAGCTCCATTTTTTAATATTATATTTGAATAAGCGGAAAAAGAATAATATTGTTACGTCTCTGTTTGTTAATTGATTTTTCCGTAACTTCGTTCCAACGAAACTTTAACGACACAAGTCTTTACTTAATAAAACTGGTTTATTCTTTCCGAATTTAACTCTGCGATACACTTAATCTCAATACTCGCGCTAAAACAACACTGTAACGAACGAACGCTAACTTCAACAATACCCTGTGGCTGCAGTTCAATTACTCACTATCTATACACACATTACATTCCCCTCTTTTATATACCAGCCTACCCTATCTACTAGAGCATTCGCCAAGATACGGGATAGTTCTAGAAACAAGAAGGCGTGAGAATTGTCACGTGATCTTGATGACGCAACACTATCATGTTAGAGCTCATGAAAGCAATAGGCTTAAGGTTTATGATAAAAATTGTATCACCAAGTTTAAATCTAAAACTAATTTCAAGTACTGTCATTAGTTAAGGCTTGTGGCAATACGGAGAAAGAGAGAAAAAAGATGTTTTATCCAAAAAAAGTAATAATAGAAACATACGTATTACGGTCACTCACTAACCTGTAACTTAGATGTTTTTAAAACTCGCCAAGAACTTTGAAATGCTTACGTCAAGCTAAGTATATGTATAAACTAAAACGCTCTAAAAAATATAATTCAAGCCAGACCTCGTGAAAGTTAAAAATATTATATACATACTTAACTTGTATAAATTATAATAAATAATTTATTGGCACATCGAATTCAAGCTTGGCCTTGTGAACGTTCGAAGTATTTTATACATACTTAACTTGGATAAATTATAATAAAGAATTTATTGACACATCGAATTCAAGCTTGGCCTTGTGAACGTTCGAAGTATTTTATACATACTTAACTTGTATAAATTATAATAAATAATTTATTGACACATCGAATTCAAGCCAGGCCTCGCGAATGTTAGAAGTATTATATACTGTTACGACAGCGGAAGTCACGCGACGCTGGGAGCATGCACGCTGGAGTTTCTCGAAGGATCATGAATTTTCCTGGCAACTCTAGTTTGTTTGAGGCACCCCCTTTTTTAGTATATAAGCCTGGGGAGAAAAACCAGCGC